TTTCGACGCGATACGAGTGGCTCGGTATACGAGGTGCCGAGCTCGAGTTCGTCGCCCGGGATCGCGAACGCCGGAAGAGCTCCCGCGCCTGCCACGCCTGCCACGCCTGCCACGCCTGCTCCAGACGCGACGCCATCAGGACGGGACGAGCCGTTCGGAAAATCCAAGTACGTACGTGTGTCGAGCCCGTTTCGAAAGCCGAGAGCCGAGTTACGAATTGCATAAATCCTGAAAATTACCATGCAGGGATATCTGACCGTGAGGGTACTCCTGCCTCAGTAAGTCCGCAACGAAAAGGCAAGAAATCATTTGGAAGGGGATCGGCAGAATTTTCAATCAGAAAACCTGGTTGGTTGCTGGATGATTGCTTCACGAGAGTGGGACATTATCCCGATGAGCTTCAGGGACGATTGCACGGCGGAAATTACTTTTTATTGTACGAAAGAAGTCATTTTTCTGAATCTGGGCACGTTCGCCCGGGGAAAGCAAAGGTGAACTACGCGTGAAATGCAGGTATAAGCGGGTATGCCATGAACTCGCAACCTTTCAAGGTAAAAAAAAAAATATTTTTTGCGACGCAGGAACGTCCGTAGAGAATATCATCATTCCTGGAAAATGCAGGAGAACTAAGGTGTGATTTGTTCCAAGGAACCAGTTTTCTTCGATAATATTCTTCCCGAAGTGATGTTTCTGCTAGCACGAAATGTTGACAAATTTATATCGAGAAAGTTCCATGGAGGCAATTGAATGCACAAAAAAGCACACACTTTCGACGATTAGATTTGCAATCGTTAAAGACAGACAGGGATTGTAGATCCTTTCCGCTAGATGGCGTAAGCGCCTGCGCCCCGCCGAAGCCATTTCGTTCGAGCCGGGGGAGCCCACTAAATTTACCATCTCTTTGCCGGTGAATGACTGGGTCCTAGGCTGCACGTCCAGAGAAAATTGGTTGCCATGGCAACAGCGGACGGGCTGAAGGAAAAAGGAAGGGATAAACCGGTTGCTTTATCTGCCTTTTTTTCTTAAGGGCAGAACGGGAATGCCAGAAAAAAAAAATGCGAGAAACGACCGCAATATCTGCCATTTTCCCGTCGGTCATCGTGAGAATGGCACATTTCTGGACCGAGATGCGAGCTGCATCGATGCACCCCAGACGTCGATCGAGCTCGAGTCCCGCCTCGAATTCCTGTCGCTTCTAGAAAAACCTGCTTCGTGGTTCACGCACGAGGTCTCGTGGACGAGGAACGGCGACGTCCGACGACGCCCACACGGACGTATTGTTTGTGCCGAACGACGAGCAACTCGAACCGAACGCGGTAGATATCGTCGAAGGAAAGATGGGAATGTCGATCGGATCACCGGGGGATCTGACTCCGTGCGAATTTTTACCGATCACGCGAGAGTTTGCTTTTCGTTTCCAAATGATGCAATGAAGAGGTTTCGCGATTTTTGCACTGCACATCGCACTACACGGGCCGATCCGGAGAGAAAACCTAGAGGGAAAAATGGCTGCACGGTGGTCTCCATGCAAAGCGGAGGTTACCATTTAGGCTGAGGCTTATCATCTGGCATTCCCATAGGTACTATGGGGAAATGCCAGATAATAAGCCTCAAATGGGGAAATGCGGTCGGTCTCTCACTTTTTTTCATTTTTTTTTCATTCCGTCTGTCCCCAGTAACCATAGCGACCGGACAACACGACCCAATACGCACGTGCAGCTTTCCGCCTAGGTCGGGGTGCCTGTCTTCCACGAAAACATCCACTTCCCTTCCTGCTCTGGCGGTTGACGGATCCGTAGTAGACAATGGAGGAGAGCGGCTGCTCCCGGCCGCGTGTACAAGGTTGTTAGGCGTACACGTGAAATGCGAAAAGTGAAATCTGGCATCCTACATGCTGTCCTCTCATCTCCACGCGACGCGGACGCGCGGACCGTCGAGAACATGTCTAGTTGTCTAGGCCTTTTCATATAAGCCTACGCCGAACCGATGACAGCTGTTATTAATTACAGGGTTCGATGGTTAGGATGCGGTGAATTTATATAATAATTTTAGTGGTACAGGGGCCAGTGGAATGGCAGATCTGTACCTGGGCTGGTACTCTCTACTTTTTTTTTTAAGTAAGAATGCCCACTGGGCTTCTCCACTCTTGGCTCTACGAGTTTCCCCCATGAAGCAAAGCGGCAAGGTGAGAGGAGGGTGGGAGAAAGGTGAGAAGAGGGTGAGCCATAATATCTCGTACAAATTTCAAAATAGGCTAAAAGAACTGAAGAGAGTCATCCCATTCTGTTATTGGTCGGCTTGTCCCATCCAACCTGTAAACATGCGTGGACAAAATTGCAATATTTTGCTGCTTTACGTCAACTTCAAGGCGTCCGTGACGCCTTGAAGTTGAAACGAGCGACTGCGATCGAGCCGTTCCAGAATGGGCAAAGCCCGGGGAGCATCTTTCGTCGACTCGAGTCCAGTGGATACCGACGAGGTTTCGTTCATCTCGGGTTCATCTCAGACTCAGGCGTTACCACGAGACCGGAGACGCGAACGACAGGAAGCATACAGTACCTGCCGACGGCGCCGAAGCTCGTCGATAACGCGAAAGTGCGTATCGGGCGGAACCCTCGGCGTCCGTGCCGAAAACCGGCGATCGAGGTGGATACCTCCCACGCAATCGTACGACGAGTGTCGAAAGAGGATCTCGAGTTGAAGCCTTCGAAGACGCGAAAGAATGAAATGCTCGACCGACAGACCGAGCATGCCAGAAAGGAAAACGTCGGGCTCTGCTTCGACGGCTCACGCCTGACAAAGTGGATCGCATCCTGTTCTCTCGTGAGAAGCTCTTCGGTGTGGAAGCTAAGTGTAATACCAAAAATAACAGGGTCTATTTAAGACGTGTCGAAGAATCGCTCGAAGTTGTGAACAAGATGCAGAGGTCACATCATGGCTCGAAATGATGGCTCGGGCTGGAGCGTCTGCCATGGGCAAGATTTCCCCGGTTTTCGTGGATCGAGGAGTGAAAATCGGAAAGAATCTCGACGTGGCAGATGTTCTCTCACCTCGTGTGCCCCCCCCCCCACCCCCCTCCCACGACCCATGATTCCTTCGAAAACGAGGAATGGTGGCTCCAGCAGGTTTGAGCACCTGCTCGCAAAGCCTGCATCGCTCAAAACTGGTGCTGGAGCTTCGTATCCACTGCCGAATGGCCTGCCTCCATACCCGATCTCGATCCGCTGGGCTACAGCCCGTAGTATACTACGCCTGGTCAAAGTCGAAGCAGATGGTTTGCACTAGGAATCATCCAAATCTGGGGGTCTCTTAAGCGCTCTCCCGTGAAAGCCTGGAATAATCTTCTGATGGAAGAGGCGCGTGCTCCAATCCGTAGCCGGCGAGGATGGTCGTCAGTCCGTGTGGAGGCCAAAGGGGGTTCTCCAAAGTTTTGTCGATTATGTGTCAAGTTCATGCGGTCGTCATTTATATTTTCACAATCCGACGCCTCTGTGTCTCAAAAGCGATATTCGAGAACCAAAAGTCTTCGAACGAGATGCCACGGCTCACCCTGTACGTCCATCGGGGACCGGACGGATGACTTAAAAGAAGCAGGGCAAGGCCAGTCCAGTAGTGGGCCGGTTTGCATAACTTGTTTCGCTCGATGACCCGCTCGGCAAGGTCAGTCCAGTGGCGAGTCTGCTAGACTGCCGAGAACGGGTGAGCGGCTTCCTGCTTTTCGGAAAGGAGGTTTCCAAAAAATGAAGGCTTGTCTCTCCGTCGAGCCATCTTCACTTTCCAGACCGATTTCCGCTCATCTGTATCAACGTTCACTTACGTAACTTTTGGCGCTATGAAATCAGTGTCTCGAGTGGTGGAGTTCGTACTCCATGCCCTTCGTGGCTACGTGACAGAGAAGAGCATCTACGAGTACCTCTCCTTTTCCACTCCCCTTCCTTCGTGCAATCGGACACGCGCTTTAGGGAAACGTAGAATCTAGTTCCCCCTTTCCTCCCCCTCGGTGGGTTGGTCCTGCGGTCGTGCGACCTTTTCTGCCTGACCTCGGTCGAGCACCCTTCGAGCACCCTTCGAGCACCCTTGTCTCGATCCGGAGAGAAGTGCTCCGAGCGACACCGTCGAAGAGGACTCGAACGTTTAGGTATCTCAGGAAAAGACGCGTCGGACGATGCATTCGAAAGGATCCCAGGTTCTAGCCGGAATTTCTTGATGCCTTTAAATGCCTCAGCCTTGCCGGCGCACGTAGGATTTCGAACCGAGCAACCCTGAAGAATGGGAACGCGACCGTGAAATCGTCTGCGGGTATGGCACGATTCCGAGGCTTTGGTATGCCTCGTTATCGCGGTTTTCAACGATTTCGTGCGGTTCCGGACTCTTGCGCTGCGAACGCGTCGATTCCGAGAGAAAGGCCAATATTCAAAGAAATTATCATGTAAAAATAAGACGGAAAATGCGTGAAGACGGCTTCCGCTCGGTTCTGCAATCGGATTCGGGGAGGAAGATAATCGGGAGGGAAATTCACCTCATTCCTATTCCGGTGAGAGCATCCAAGGACACGGAACCATTTCTCCGAGGGTATGAGACCGTGAGACCCTTGTTTCCAAGGCCACCAGCCTCTTCCGTTCGAGTGAACCAGAGCCTTGCATCCGATGGCAACCAGAGCCTTGCATCCGAGGGCAACCGGAACGATCGATTTTTATTCCCACGGTGCTACGTGGTCGTTCGAGAGGATTCTTGGAAACCGATTTCTCGACGATGAAGCGAGGATCGATCCGTCGCTTCACCGAGACTCGGTCGAGAACAAAATTTCCCGACTCGGTTTTACGCAGAGGAAGCGAGCATCCGGAAGTTTAAAATAAAGAAAAACGGACGGAAATAGAAGGAACGAATCTCGCTTCGCGAACGACGGGAAATGAAAAATGCGCCCTCTCATCCACGGATCATCGAAAAAAAAAGTGAAATTCCCTTTTTTCCCCCTCGCGACGTGACTCGAGCGTGGAAGGATGTTCGTGTCATCCGAAAGTGAACCTCGGGACCCCGGTGACTCCGGCGTCAGTGCCTTCCTAGCAGCGAGTGCGAGCCGACCCGCTTCCTCATGGATCCAAGGATGCTACACGATCTCGCCCGGGAATTCGGGTCTCTCTTCCAACAACGTGAATTCCGTTCGTCGTTTCCGTCGGGCCGACGCGTTCCCTTCGTCTTCCCGATCGCTCGTCGTCTCGTTCCGCGTCGTCGCCGGATCGCGTGCGATCGGCGAGCGAAGACGGAGACGAAAGGGGCTCGGCCGCCTCGAGAAGGCGCAGGGAGAGGGAACGTTTTCGAGATTCCTCGTATTTTCGGACGAAATCGCGTACTTGCTCGACCGTTCCTCGAGTCTGCCGATTTCGTCCGAAGACCGAAATCGTCGGGCGAGACGTAAACGTCGAAGGGCCAAAGATCGCTCTCTCGTCGATGTAGCACGGAGAACGCACGAGTTCCGCTCTCGCGGAGCATTTAACATTTTTTCCACTTATTCGTATCGATCGACGTCTCGCCGAACTCTCTCCGCGTCGTGTTCGCATCGCGTGGGATGATGAAAATGCATTTCGTTTCCGTGTCGATCTGATCGTTTCTCTCGGTGAACTCGCGGGGAGTCCGACGTTAACTAATTTCTCGGAAACCGACACGATCCGTTCGTACGGATCGAACGCTCCCGGAAGGAAGTCCAAACTCTCGGCTCGACGAAGGAAAATCCATTCTCGTATCCAACGAAGGAAAATTCACTCTCGTATCCGACGAAGGAAAATTCACTCTCGTATCCAATGTTTGCCTCGTTCGTCGATGCGCTCGGCTCGTCGGCGAGGACGAGCCGAGTTAGATGGATTCTCGAAAGAAAACGGCAGCAGTCAGTGGATGTTTGGGGTTAACGCTCCGGTCGACTCGTCGTCGATTCGTGTCGTCGAGGTCCGGTTTCGTTCCGAACGCTTTTCGTCATCCCACGCATCGATCTCGCACGTCGTCGCGTGCGATCGTCTCGACGGTTCTCGACGTCGTTTTCGATACGTTTACAGTGGGAGGAGGGAGGCAGTTGGGATCCCGACAGTTCGGGAGCGGGATCGGGAACGATTCGTCTTCGACCGGAAACTCCACCGGCTTCTCCATCGAACAACTCCTCACCGATCCTCCGGTGAGTCCACGAGCGCGCGATGCGCTCTCTTATCTCTCGCAGAGGGACGAAAACGGCACGAAACGGTCGGTCCACCGATCCGACGGGGGACGAATCGTACGGCCGTCCGACGACGAGCGGATCCGATTTCTCGATCCGTGCGCGTTTCTTCGCGTCTATGCTCTGTCGGGTGCAGCGGCCGATCGCGTGATCGTCCCGTTCGCATCGGAACCCAGCACGTAATTACCCGATTTTTTCCCCACATCGATCGATGAAATCGATTGGGGACTTTGGAAGAGAGTCGCAAAAAGATGCGAGCTGGAGACATTGCACCGTTCGTCTGGCATCTTCGACGGAATCCGAACGGGGATTTTCTCGGGCCCGGGGAAAAAAGAGGATCCTCGGGTGACCGAGAGGGTCCTCGGGTGACCCAGAGGATCCTCGAACGAACCGTCCTTCCGTCCTTTGCAGGTGATCCTGGCGACGACCGTGGCGCTGCTGATGGTGACTCTCATGTTTCCTCTCTTGGCCATCTTCCTCGGCTTCTCCATGGCGGGATCGCAGGACTCCAGCGCCAACAAGGACGAAGGAGGAGGAGGCACCCCGGCCGAAGGAGGGATGTCCTCGGGGACCGGCGAGGGAGACTTCATCGCACCCGCCAAGCGATTCATCGCCTCCGTCTACAACTGAAGGGCGAGGAAAAACACGGAATTCACTTCTCACCGGCAGTCGAGTGCATGTATTCGCAACGAGTCTGGCCGAACGAGCATCGATAAATAAAGAGATTCTTTCCTCTCGTGCACGCATTCTCGATCGATCGGGACCGAAAAGAATCCATCTCGGATTCCGTGGGCTTCATCGCGGAATCGTCGCATGCGACACGGCTCGATTCCGTTTCCTCTTCCGACGCGTAGCGTGACGAGACGCGTTTCTTCGAGACCGCAGCCGGTTCGTCCGTTCGACCGTTACGCTTCCCGAGTCGTATCGCATGCGGTCGAGAAAGGAAATCGCAGGCGGAAATTCGATTCCAGGAGAACGAGGATCTCAAATCCCGTATCGGCAATGGAATTTTAGTCGGGCCTCCCTCGAGATCCAAGGGTTTACATCGGGGAAGCTCAAAGTGCTGCATGCAGCACAAAAAGAGAAAAAGAGAAAAAGAGAGAAATGAAAAAAGATATGTGCCTCTTTGAGCATCTCTGGTTTCATTCGCACTTTCGAGGGGTAGTTCCGTCGTAAGTGATTGGCAGAGTGGTATTACGGTTTCACTCCGCTAGATGGCGGAGTGAAACCGTAAAATGGCTACTATTTCCGTCCCTTTGCAATTTGAACTCCAAAACAACGTCACCGCCGAGCAGAGATCACTTTCCTCGAGGTGAGTGTTTACGAGTGATTTCACGAAAAATCGAGGATAGAATGCACGCGTCATCGGAAGAGGTCCGATCTCCGTGAGTTCACCGCCATTTCGCCTACGATTTCGCCGTGTGAGTCATCGCTGCATTGGAATCCAGAGAATTGCCTCATGGGCAGTGGCGTAACTAGGGGGGTCAAGTGGGGCGGTCGCCCAGGGCGCCACAGTCCAGAGGGCGGCAAAGTAGCTTTTCAAAATATTTTTTTTATTTCAAAGAAGCAAAATTTCGGAAAATTTTCTCATTTTGCCCATTTTGCCGCCCACTGGAAAAATGCCAGCTTTGGCGATTTTGCTATTTTTTCCCTTCCGCCGCCCTCAGTTCAGAGGGCGGCAAACGTCATCTTTCAGCAAAATGAAGCTGATTAAGTCGTCCCTGCGATCTACAATGTCTCAAGAAAGACTTCAAATCTTGCTATCCTGTCAATCGAACGTCAAGTAACTTCTTCCATTGATTTCAGCGAAGTCATTAAAGATTTTGCAGCCAGTAAATCAAGAAGGGCTGAATTTTACCCCCCCCCCCCTCCCCTTACCCCCATTGCCAAGAAAATTGCATAAATGAGGTCGGATGACACCGATTTGACGTACGATTATTTCCTGAGCTGCATGCCGATGATGCAATCTACAACTAGACCACATTGTGACACCGCTGCTGCCTTTCACGTGCCTTCCTTCCCCCCTCGATTCTCCACGTCATTTTTGAACCAATAACAGTCCACATTCGTATCGAAAGTTTTCAGAAAAATTTAGACTAGCAAGGATTCGAACGCGAGTGAATCTCCCGGATGATGCAAAAAGCGAAGGATGCTTTGGAATTTTTACCTTGCCATCCGCGGTGTCCATCCCACTCATTTCGGACGATTCCTCTCCTTCATATGTCTTTAAGCACAAGTATCGACGTAGACATCGAATCGGTTGATTACGGTTCCGCAAGCCTTCGACGCTCTAAGAAATCGATCATCCCCGGAACGAAAAGGAACATAGGAAAGCGAATGGGAGGATGCAGGTGACTGTAGGTGAAGGAACCTCGGCGTCGATGAATCAGAGGGAGAAAATGTTTCGCTTCTCTTCCTCTCTGTACGGTCGCCTACGTTCTTCGTTCTCACCGTCGAAGGACATTTTATTCTCTCAATCGTCTTAATTATCTACAGGTATTCTGCATTTCGAGACGCGTCTGGAGGGAAGAGACGGAATTCTGGCTCAAGATGTGGGGAACTGCAGAAATGCGATTTTTTTGCATATCTTTGGTGCATATTTAGTTTTCATAAGACACTTTATCTCAGGTGAACTCAATCACTATTCACATTTTGGCGCATATTTGGACTTGGAAGACCAGAGCCAGATGACGAGAGCCGCCCCTTTTCAGACCGATAAGTGCAATCAATATGCACCGTGAATCTCCCAATCTGCGTTTGAGATTTCTGAATGGGAGAAGCCCACTCGGTTCATGATCACCTACTCGGTATGCGTTTTTCACATTCGGTCAGATTTCCTTTCATTCCACCCAGCAATCTAGCCAGAATTTTTTTTTAAGGAAGTTTTAAGGGCCATCCCGTTCCAAGTGACTAGTCCAATCGTGGGAATTCTCCACGAATGAATTCCCATCAGAGGTATATCGCACCACTCATTAGATACCAAGTCAAGTGTAAAAAAAAAAAAAGTTACACTTCAATGACACACGAGCCAATAATAATAATAAATGACAGAAAAGGTGCCTGGTTCATGGTCTTCTCAGATTTCGTACAAGTATTCGCAGGGGAATATACGTGATGCACCTATAATTCAAGAATTTCAGCGTATTTCTCATGGCAGTTTTTTGCACTTGCATTGATGACAGTCTCATTGCCCATGAGAACATAGATAGAACAGGGTTGAAAAGTAAAGAATTTCCGAAGAGGCAGAGCCTCTGGGTCATCATGGAGACAAATGAGACATTTATTTCTTTGAACGATTCGAAAACACGTGTAACATGCATCATAATGATGAGTAAACTAGCAAGAGAAATGATGGAAACATGCGTTTCCCGCACCAGAGACGTCCTATGTAGGATTTCCTCTATGAGGACAAACTCGGAGATCTTCGGTTCCCAAAGACTTCACCAGTCGAGAAGAACTGTGGTCCCAACGTCCATCGAAAAGCAGAACATTCCTGGTCTTAAATATTATGCCCACACCTGGAAAAAGAAGAGACAGAGAGATTAACCGTCTGTTGTTGCCGAAAGAAAAATAAAGCAAAGTAGAAGGCATTAATTCTCATAGGTGAGAGTGAGAAAGAGAGAAAGAAAGAGAGAGAGAGAGAGAGAGAGAGAGAGAAGGCAGTGACGTACGCGAAGCGTGAAGTCCCAGGATCCGGTGCAGAGGCCGGTACCATCAGGTGACACCCTGAGGGAAGACACCCTGTTCTCGTGTCCGTAGAGGGTGGTCAATCGAATAACCTTGAGTGCATCCCAGATGTTCACCGTGTAGTCGCTATGACCCGCAAACAGGAACCGACCTGAACGGAGAGAGAGACGAAAAGGTCAGGTGCCAGCCCTCGACGTTCGGTCGCAGGTGGAATGCGGAGGGCGAGACCGCTGATGGAGAAGTCCAGCGCGTTCACTCCGAAGATGATGCTCTCTTTGGTGTAGCATCCCACTTCTCGGTCCGCACGCAGGTCGAACAGTCTGCACTGCAGTACAAAATGTATATTTTCATTCTTATAACGTTTCCGGATTCTTCAATCGTCACTCTGGCCAGAAGACGGGGCAGGAGAGGCAAGACACCTCTTCATTTTCAACGTGAGAAATAATTTAATAATACTAATAAAGTTCTGAATTGAATGCATTTCCTTTTTTATTTAAACAAAAAAAAACCTTCGTAAGCCATAATTTGGAAACGAGTCGCCTTTGGGGGCATCGTCATAAGCAATACTGACAGATGCTAAATTCTCATGCTTTAAATACTACATTTACGGATGAAAATGTGCGAAAACCAAGTACTACCATGAAAATGTGCCAAGTTTACTTTTTTGTTTTAGTATCAATTTGTTTGAGGAAAAGTATCCTTCCAAAGCCTTCCACCCGAGACTCGAATTTTCATACCAGTCTATATGATTAAACATTGATTATGAACCCTACAGTGTATTCAGCTGATGTCAGAAGCACCTTGACTGTGCAGGCAGCGATGCAAACTAACTGTGTTTTTCTTTTCTTTTTTTTTGCAATAGTGGAAGTCTCATCCTGTCTGTTTGTAAGACCATCCATCTGTCTGTTCACACTTCCGTCGTTAGAGGACGACTAAAAATATATTGTACACTATTGCAGAGAAAATCGGTATGCCGCCAGAAACGAAAGCGGGACGCATGCAATATATGGATTGAGTTCGTTTTAAATTAAATTAATGACAAAAGGGGCTTTTTAATGGGAATTTAGAAAGGACGTATAAGAGAGAGGGGATGTCTCACGCTTCCTTCTCCCCCCCCACCCTTTTCCCCCTCCCCCCCACCTTTTTCCCCCTTCCCCCCACCTCCCTTCATTACTCCAATGTCACTCTTTCTAAACTTTTCCCAATGTATGTTTTAAAAAGTAACGAATGGAGATGCGAATTTTGGTGGTGATTTATAATGAGATTGCAATAGGTGAGTAGATGGTGAAGGTGAGTAGATAAGAACTCCAGACACCGTGAAAGTAGACCCTCTATTAAATTAAGTTCATCCATCCATCTCCTTAGTGGAAGGGATCCTTGGAAGGAATTCAAAGTCTCGTTCTGAATTGAGCACGGAGATGAGAAAGTTTAGTTTTTGCATAAAAGTTTAGAAAAAAAAACCTTGTTTAATAAGTGAAGTCCACGACGGAGGTTAAAGGGTAAACGAGAAGAGAACGTACGGTGGCATCGTCGGATCCGGTGGCGATAGCGTCCCCGCTGGGATAGAATCGGACGGTGTTGATGTCTGCCTCGTGTCCCTCGAAGCTCTGCACGCATCCTCCGCTCCGCATGTCCCAGATCATCGCCAACCGATCGCAGCTCTTCATTCGTACCGAGTCGACGGAAAGAAGAACGCGATCGATGGAAGTGAACATATATTCGTCTTCGCTCTAAGAGATTCTTTTTTTTCTGGCATGCATGAGATCGGTCGAAAACTCAACACGGTCTGATTTCACGACGGGCAGCTAGTGGGATTTGTTCAACTGAACAGATCTATTCCCTTGCGAGCCTTCATATAATTATCTGGATAATTCATAACTCGAGCTCGTACATCTCATCAATGACTGAATTATTCTCAATTTCTCTTCGATCCAGTGCACGCGATATAGGTATACCTACATCCATGAATGGAATACTCTTTCAGCCGTGCGAATGTGAAACGGTAGGAAGCAGAAAGGTAGTCGTTTCGCTTACGCCTGAGACGAAGGTGTTGCCTGTCTCGTTTGGGGCGAGGTCGATGGCCATCACGTCACCGTGATGACCGTGGAAACTCTGGAGCATTTGACCCGATTCCACGTCCCACAGGGCACACGTGGAATCCCCGCTCCCCGTCAGGATCTATTAGATTCAACGAAGTTCGTTTGGATTCCATCTCCTTGCAACTCATCGCACAAGCGAGTCGTCACAGAAGCAGTTTTCCGCAAGAGTTCAGCGTCTCTCCGGTTATTCTCGGAAAGGTTTCTCAAATAAAAGGCGGAGGTGCATGAAATGTATCGTGATTAGAGGAAGTTTTCCGACGATGCGTAACTATTGCGGGTAATTGTTGCTGCTATGGGCTTTGAGCAGTGTTGGGTACATTGGGTACTTTTTAAAGATTTATATGAGATATTAAATACATCCTGAAATTAGAATCGAGATGAGATACTCAAAATACAGAATATATCTGAATACAGATACGTGAAGAGGAATCTGCCCCAAATAATGCTTTTAGAGTTAACTTTATGGAATTGGAGAAGTGCAGTCGAACGCATGCCACACGAGCCAGCCAGAATGCGGAAATAGTGTATCATCATACTGGTCACACATCCAATTGGACAAATTAGAAACTTCCTCAGGAATCAGGATTCCCACACTGTCGCAAGGCAGCTTTTTAAAATTGCTACAATGATATTGAATGAACTGTTAATGATAATAAATATGGTGTAGTGAACCCTCGATGTCTCGCCACTTTTGGTCGTAGCCTAGTTAGGCGCTATAACGCAGTTGTGCTATGTCGGATGAAGTTGGCTATAAGCTAAGAGAGCGAAAACTCCGAAGGGCAAAAAATAGACTATATGGGTGTGAAGCTTATTTTGCCACATTTAACCTCCTCAGATACTCCATACTTTTCTTATGAACTATCCATTCCACGAGTATGAGTCGCCTCTCATGGTTTTGCTATTAATTACGCAATCGGGTGGACAGTTGGCGACAAATATACCTTTCCAAAGAAAAACAGCTAAGCTGTGGAGGCAAGGGAAGACGAAGGCATTTGCTCGAACACATCCCGAGCTCCAAGGTCGTTCGGTCTTTCTTTTGGCTCCCGTCTCACATAATCTCTATGACACTGTCTCATTCCCCTTCTTGCTAGGACGGGAATTCAATGAGAGGAGGGCCAAGTGTAGCTCTGCCTTGAATGGGGCTCATGATTCCAGGCAATTTTCTCTTTGCCAGCTGGGGATACCCCACCGCTCACTTTTCTCATGGAATGGTATATTTGGCGGTTTTATATATTGTATAAGGGTTGCGGCAGATATGCAACTTGAAGTAATATCGAGGATGATATACATTGAAAAGGCATTTTGGATGAATAATGGTGTTGGCGTATGGAGGCTTTCGAGGGTGGCAATACATCGAGGATTGACTGCACAAAAGTGCAAATACGAATCCAAATATTTCACATTAATATGGCAAAAAAAGCAGCAATTGAAATTAAAATCGGGAAGCTCTAAATCATATTTCTTTCCTTACTACTTTACTATCGGAGTTAAAGCGCATGTTACATGGATTGCATGATATTGCAGATAGCAGGAGTGGAATCCTGCGGTTCGAAAAGTTATTTGGAAAACCTCCGACACTCGATACTTGAGAAAGTGAGCAAGATTCTGAAGAGTGCGAGACCTGCTGGTCGGAGTTGGGGAAGATGCAGCAGGACATGTAGCTGGAATGCACCCCGACTGTCTTCTTCTTCCCTGTCAGCTCCTCCTCCACGTTGAGTGGATACACCGTCACCTTGTTGTCCAGTCCCCTGTTGGTCATATCAATTACATCCCGTTTCTTCACTTTCCTTGTGTATCAAATTTTCAGAAGAGGGTAAAATGGAATGTACCCGCAAGCGACCATGTTGCCAGAGGGGGCGTAGGCACAAGCCATGACCCATGTAGTAGGCATGGTGATGGCATGCTCCTTGTTAGTCGTGAATGCATCCCAGATGATGATCTTTCCATCCTGTCTCCCCCCCCCCGCCGAGGGAAAAACATACAAGGGATGTGAACAGCGATAAAATGAAACGACACACATTATGCATGCGCCTCCTCTACACAGCCCCATGTGGCGCACGAGATCTCTCAAGGCCGAGTCTCGAACTTCCAATGGTATAAATGCTCTAATAGATGGGGGAAAGCGCGAACCTGCGAGGAGGAGACGAGATGGCGTTTGTCCGAACACCAGTCCAAACACAGAACTTTCCCCATGTGCCCCTTGAGAACCCGTCGAACCTTGATATTCTGCAAACTGAGATTCTCCAGCCTCTGCGCCACGTTCGACACTACAGTCAAATGTCTTCAATGTCGTATTTTCCCCTCAAATTCTCTATCCTCATGAAGTAATTCCATGGTCAACTCACGTGACACATCGCTGAGCTTCTTTCGCTCCTCCTCCAGCTTGAGTTTGAGGCATCGCACCTCCTGCATGAGGGCATCGATGCTTTCCTCGGTCTTGCTCCCCCCATCCGACATCTCTGTCTCACTTGGCTCCGTATTCTATTAGGGGGTGGGGTTCTCTCAGGGTAAGAAGCCCACGGGTTACAACACGGAAAAAAATGGAAGGGAAGTTCGTGGTGCAGCAAGCAAGTTTTCCTGCTCCTCCATTGAGTGTGCGAGGGGTAGAATGGGGGAATGGGGGAATGGGGGAGGGGAGAGAGGGAGTCGAGCATGCCCGTCGTGTCCTCAGCCTCCATCCTTTTCCGACTAATCGATAATAGTCAGTAGGCCTACAGTCCATGCGTTGGCATGGACGAAGTGCTTCGTTCGGGGTTTCCCCGGCTCTGATGATAAGCATTGGTAGCATCAACGAGAGACCTATGAGTAAGGGAGGATGAAGTTAGTTCTAACCTTCCCTCAGAGTAGTGCAACACATCTGGCCTTTCTAGAATTAGGCTAAGGTCTAATGTTTAGCCACTTGAATAGGCACGACGTTAGATCATGTGTAGGCCTAGGCTTTGGTTTTCGAGGCTAGCCTTATGAGCTGTTGTCAGTTTAATGAAATTCCTTTTGCACGTATTGGTTAGGCCTAGTTCGTGTGAATGGACGGACTAAGTTTTTTTTGGCAGTGTATTGACCTAGCTGGCTCTGCCCTGACTTGGAGACGAGCTGAAAGTCACCTGACTCCCAACGTCTCCTCAGTTGGACTCCTACATTCGAAAGACGAGAACTTGGTCTCAAGGTTGTGGGGAGTTGGCTTTCTAAAGTGAAGAAATATCTAAGGTTAGGCCTGAAAGTCACAAAGATTGTGCTCAGGTACACCAGCACATAAACCAACAGCCTAGGCAAGGACCAAGTTGAACCCATGAATGATGGATTTTGATCCATGAGTCCAGATTAAGTACACTCCTGTGACTTGCAGAAAGGCTTAGGTTTTCTTCAGGCAGTGAGCATCATCATGGATGAAAACGGCAGATATTTGAGAAAGTAAGTTTTTTATTTATAGGAATGAGTCTTGGTATGGTGCCAAGGTGGCAGTGTGATTATATGCAGTGTTGTACTGTTTCCATACAGTGGTGGTGGTATGAACTTGGTTGGTATTTCGTGGCTTTATACCACAGTGATAATTTAGAAAAATGTTGAAAGGGTCAGTGTAGTTAGCACGAAAGTCAAGTACTGCAGTATTATGAAAATACAGGTATACCACAATTCACTAGCTTTCATCAAGGTACTAGTTGTTTTCAGCAATTTTGACTGTAGAGTACCTATTAAATGCAGGATTTTACCAAATATATAGTCAGAACAGAGGTCTCACTCAAAACCTAAGCAGTTTGCATAGAATTGAGTCCTTAGTGGGTGGCAGACACTTGTGAGGCTATAGAGACTTGGATTTGCTAGGTGTTTTAGTTAATCATGTAATGGATGACATCTACCAGTTTTATTTGTCAACTAAATTGATTTTGTACCAGGTGCCCCTTGACAAGAATTTCCAAACTTCCCTATATGAAACATCTTAAAATGAGAATGCATGTCATCTATTTCTTATTGTGACATGAGGTAGGAAGTTTTTAAATGATCATGGTATCCTTCAATAATGAAAAGCTGTCTAGTTTTGTGCTAATAGGTCAGAAACAATTGCTGAAAATCATCCCACAAGGAAAGGAAGGTGCTTCCTTTACCTTGGAAGACATGCCTGTGTTCAGTGGGCTGCCAGAAGTTTTGGGACATTAGGGGTAATGTTTTTGGTTACAATTCCTAGATTGGCCCTGAAGTTGGGACTGAACCAGCTTACCCAATTGACACAGCCTTTTTTTTTATTCATACCCCATGTGGTGCAGTTAAGCATGTTCCTGATTAGGTGCAGCCTCACTCAAGTTCTTCCTGGCCAACTATGTATGCCTCACATATCTGCCCTTCCATGTTTTGTTCATCCATTAAACTATTGAATGAATTTCTTGATGGAGAGATACTCTCCATCAATAAATCAGCATAGTTCTTTCCTCTGCTAACAATTGATACAATTGTTAGCAGAGGAAAAAACTAGGCTGATTTATTCCAAACTTGTCTAAAGTAATGTTGCAAATAACATTACAGTTCTGAAATCGAATTTCTAGGAGAACTTTAATCTCAGATATTGTGTTCACTGGTTGGGCACAGATATCATCAGTCAGCCATGAGCCAATCCATCTTACAACCTCACTTGTCTTTCAATGTATTCTCTCCTTGCAGCAGTAAAGTTAGCTTTAGTTCTTGTTGGTCGTCCACTTCTGCCATATTTCTAATCATCCCTGCTCCTATGGTACCTGTTATCACCAACTAAATGAATACCATTATAAAGAGTGCCATTAACAATGATAAAAAGAATCATTTCATTTTTCCAAAACTCATAAAAAATAGTATCTGCTATGATCAGCCCGAAATTTCTTGGAGAATTTGAATTTCAGAAATTGGGATCACTAGCTGGGCACAGGGATTGTTGGTCAACCATCATGGTCTTACCACTAGGCTGTAGGGATAATAAAATCCCAAGTTGACCTCATATACTTCATTTTGTCCTCTCCTGCAATGGTTTTCAATTGGTGGCATCCACTCCTACTTGGGCAGAAGTGGGAATTACTTAATTCCCTCTTCAACTACGATTTAGTCCAGAGTAGCAGCTTCATCAGATGGATACTGTGTCTTTGGCCATGCGAAATAAATTATCAAGCACATTATGAGTGTTGCATGAGGGACTTTTGTACCCTCCAGACATCACCTTTGAGCATACTTCTATATTCACCCCACCAGCCACTCCCATTCTTTTATTGATAATACAAGAAGCAGAGTTAGTGTTCATCAATTATTTGTGGTAATTCACAGTTATTTGTTTGATTTCAGGCATGATTGACAGCAGTCTTTTGCAGGGGTCAGCTGATAATCCCAAAACCCACCTGCTCAGTTGATGGTATTATATGATGGACCTATATATTATGCATTAAGAAAGCTAAGGCTATGGGACTTGCAAGGGAATGATTCTTGTTTCCTCAGCTTGTCAACAGAATCAACTGGATAAGAATAGATAAGAATGTGTCACAATGTGGCATGTGGCTGTGACCAGTATATGTTTACTGTGTTTAAATTGTCATACACATTTAGAATGGTGATCAATATCAAAATGACAGCTGTTGTGCTTTGTCTTATACAGGTTATTTTTCTGTAGGATGAATTTGGAGAAATTTTATATAGCTTTGCTCATATTAAGGCAAATAATAGCGACTTCCAGACCTGGACATTGAATTTTGAGAACAGTCAACAAACTTGCTTTTTTTTATTATGGAATGATAAGCCAAAAAAAAAAAAGAATTCTGGAATGACTTTGGACTTCCTGCTGTTGGTGCATTAGCTTCATGGGAGCTGGAAGTATCCTTGTGAAAGTAGCCCCACTGTTTAATTTCTTCCTGATGACACAATCCAATGGCATCAAATAAAAGACAATATTTCCAATAGGTAGAGCAAGAGTATAAGTTTGTTGGAGCCTATCTTCCCTATCATCTCTATTACTATTATGCATCTCTTCTGTCAATTCTGAAATTCTTGTAAAATGAAATATGCCCAGCAAAGTTAAGGACAATTACAAAAAATTAGCATCCATTTACTTTACTATATCTTAGTAGACTACATAAATACTTATCCAACATTGCTTCATCAAAAATCTGTGCTTATAGTGATAAGGTAATTCACAGTGAATTAACCAAGCATTGTTCAAATGAAAATATGACTCAATATCTTTTATACCGCTGGCGGACCTGGAAGGGGGGGGGAAATGTTTTCTGTCCCCTTAAGGCATTTTCTTTCCTCTGAAAGTAGAAGGGCAATCTTCCATGAAGCCATTGCATTATGGTATGAATAGAATCTCTGCTGTTTATGTTCTGTTGTAGCATTTCTAAGATGGTCCTTAACAATGCTGGGACCAATGCCTTGTCTGCAAGAGTGTGCCAATGGACTAAATATGGTAGAGGCTCCATTTGCTTTCGGCGAAATATATTATATCTAGCTCCTCTCTTGTATATACCATACGACCCATGCTACCCCATGCTACGCATTGCTACCATCTTTTGTAATTGCTTCTACCGTGTCTGCACCATGCTACTCCATGCTACCCATTGCTACTCTCCTTTGTACCTTCTTCTACCGTGTCTGCACCATGCTACTCCATGCTACCCATTGCTACTCTCCTTTGTACCTTCTTCTACCGTGTCTGAACCATGCTACCCATTGCTACTTTCCTCTGAACCCTCTCTTCAAGGCTTTACACCATGCTACTCCATGCTATCCGCTGCTATTGCCTTAACTCTCTTCTCACGCGTGTGCATCATGCTACTCTATGCTACCTACTGCTATCCTCATTTCAGCTCTCACCTCTCCCAACTCGACCATACTCCTCCATGCTACCACGCGGTTGTCTCTTGCGTAATGTTTTCTTTCAGTTTAGTCAATGCTACTATCCTCTCTGCCTTACTCTCCCGTCCGTATTCCATACTGTTGAATTTTACCTTCTGAAAATGTCACAGTACGCTATTCTCGTTGGTCTGCACAGTACCTATCAAATTTGCTCATCTTTTATCACTTTTCAAAATCTTTTCCCACTTCACTCCATAATTTCAAAATTTGCCAATGAAATGAAATAGAATGAAAACGATTTGCAAAAACATGAGCCCTCTCCCACCTTTTGAGTTGCGGTTGTGTCACTGTGATTTTCATGCTATCGTTCCTAGAGTTTCAAGCTCCAAGAAATGTTTCTGAGTGGCATGAAAGGCTTGTGAAACCTTTCACAATAGACCAACATCTAAAGAGTTTGTGTATGACTGCTTTTTGCGATTCTTGTGTTGTCACACTGATCTTGGAAATGTCCCTGGTGAAAGGCATCGAAAA